GGCCGGTGGCGGGGGATGGGCGCCGGCACATAGCAGTCCTTTTCGTATGTGCCTGTGCAAGTCCAGGACGTAACACCCACATATGTGTTCCTGTTTATTGTGCAACATGTCAGTGGGCTTGTTGGCAAGTAGGGAGGACTCGTGAATGTGGGCAATTCAGCAATTGCAGCGCAAGACATGTGCTGTTGATGTATGTCTGCAGTGCGTTTCTATGGCTGTAAAACTAGCTGTTACACACAGGTGCGTATCTAAATGTGGTTAGATTTGTTCTTGTGTGCGCAAATAGTATATATATACATCACAGCGTTCGTGAGTGTGTATTTTGTATGCGTATTGTTACATGTAGTTCTGCGTGTGCATGCATGCACGCGCAAGCAAACGAAGGCTCAGTCATATGCAGCGTGTAGCTGTTAACACATGAACACGTGCAGTTATGCGTACTCGCGGCCGCCTGCACTCTCAAACGTGTGTGTAAGGGTCCGTGTGTTATTTAGGGCAAGCTACTACCGTACAACATATCCACGTACAATGCTCTAAATTGCTTGCGTGTATCTGTCCGTGTACTTGATTGATGGAGTGAGCGCGTCGTGCGCGTGTATGTTTGCATTTATGCGTGTATGTGTTCACCGTATGTGTGAATGTTAGGAGTATGGGCCACCATCGAACTGCTGCGGTTCCTGAGAGGCGTGCGGGTTCCTGTCTCTTTCCCCCGTAAGTGTATAAGCCACACGGGTGCCAATGCCATGCACAGTACCTGCCCATGTCTTGTCATGCCCTTCATGCACATGTACATGCACATGCGTATGCACACGTGTATGCATATTCACGTATGTATGCACATACGTCGTGAAGAGTTGCTCCCTTGCAAATCCCTCCACCTCGGCTCCTCCACCCATCGTCCCTCCTTGGTGGCCCGTCCGACCCCCTCCCTCCCTCCCCGCACCTCTGGGAAGGGGCGGAGGCGGGAGGGGGCGGTGGTGATTGTTGGGAGATTTTTTTTCTACCATGTTAAGGCGCCTTTAGCTTCGGCCAGTCGGCCTGCGTGCGAAGCCTGGTGAAGACAAGCTCGCCCTGCAGCTTGTGGGCGAGCTTATGCGAGCGGTACCACTGCTTAATGTCGGCCACAAGCCCTTGCATGTGTGATTCCCTGTTCGGGCCCCATTGCCCACGCACCATGATTTCGACGAGCACGTTTGCTATTAGGTGGCTGGACACGCCCAGGTCCAAACAATGGAGAATATCTACCATGATGCCCTCAAACCTGAAAGATATGATCTTGAAGAAGTTACTGAGACGCCTGCCGCCACGTCGACAGCCCAACAGGTGACTGTTATGCGTGACAAGTGTTGCTCTCCAGCCCGCCCCAAGATCAGCCCGAGAGAAGCACATGTCGCCTCCTGCGAGGGTCGCACCGCACAAGTAGCAGCACTCCGCGCTGTTCCACCTGTTGAGGTGCAAGAAATCCGAGTAGTACTCCCAATCACCTCGCATCTGAATGGTAGCGAAGGTTCTCCCATAGCACAACGTTCTGCCTGCCTCTGGGTGAGGCACGCCGTTGTGCTGAAGAGCGGGCATCACGCCTTTGAACAATGCGTTGGAACTCCAGGCAATGCGATCCACCATCTGCTCGAACATGTCTAAGTCGAGATCCGACTTCTTGAATACTGTGACGATATCTCTCGTAGCAATCGTGTCGCCATGGCCTAACAGGCTATTGAACTGAAGCGTGAACAGGCCGTCGGCTTTCGACGTCGGGGCAGCATCGCCATGTAGGCCCAAAGGTACAGTAGTGGACGATATACGCGAAGCATTGCACTTGTAGGTCGGGTGATCCCGAAGGGCGTGCCAGAATTGGGCGGTCTCGCCATCTTCTCCAGTGATCCGTTGTTTGAACACCAAAGGGCCCTTACGGTACCATGCCTCCAACGTGTCGATCGGGTCGACGAACGGGTGGAAGATCACGTCGCCGTTGGTGTTCTTCAGCTCTGCCCAGCTGATCTGCGGTGCTCGAGCTGGCGTGCCAATGGCGCGACACACTGCCCTGAACGCGTGCTTGGATTGCAGGTTGGATGTGCCAGCGTAAGCGCCGATGTTCTGCGCTCCCTGGGAGGCCGCGGCCTTGGCGAACTTGATCACGTCAGGGCTGCTGATGGATCCCATGGCCCATCTCCTCCGCAAGAGGTCTGTGAATTCACGAGCGTCTCCTCCGCAAGGCGTCGCACCCTCAAGGTCTTCGACGCGGCGCCTGATGCCCCTGCCTTCGGCGGGCGCAGCGCTGCTGGCCTCCTCGTTGCACCGCTGAGGCGCCATCCGCTTGCGAAGCCCACCGTGCGCCTCGGGAACTCTTGGGACGCCATCTGCATGGCAAGGCTCAGGCACCAACCTCTGGCGGATGCCGTGGCCTCGTGGAGGCATGAGAAAGCACACGGTGAATAGAAGCATCTGGGCGCATAGTCCACCCAGCGCCGACGGCGCTGGGGTTTGAGCCAAAAAGGCTGCAGGGTAAAGCGGGGGAGGAAGGGGACGGGAGAGGGACAGAGGGAGCAGCAATGACGTTCTGCATGTGTTCCAGTTTGCGAAAAGCCGTGGCTCGAGGGGCGGGGGGTGGGCGGGTGGGCAGGGTAACCATTTTGCATTGCCCCCCTGCTTGCCCCTCGCCCTCACGAGTGCACTCTCTCTCGTGGGTAGCTCTTTAAGTCAGTCAGCCCAGTCACTCAGTCAGTCCAATCAGTCAGTCAGTCCAGTCAGTCAGTCTACTCGTTGATGCATCAACCAGGCAGTTCTTTTAGCCACCATTAGATGCATACTCAGTAAGTCCAGTTAGTCAGCCCAGCCAGTCCACCAGCCAGTCAGTCCAGTCCATCAGCCAGTTAAGCCAGTCAGTCCAGTCAGTCCAGTCAGCCAGTCAGTCAGTCCAGTCGGTCAGTCCAGTCGCTGATGCATCAACCAGCCAGTCCAGTCAGTCACCGTCGGGTGCCTACTCACTCAGCCAATCCAGTCAGTCCATCAGCCAGTCAGCCCAGTCAGTCAGTCCAGTCAGTCCAGTCGGTCACGAGTTTGATGATGTTGTGGATGATGATCACAGTTGATAATCTCTCTACGCTCGCTCGCCGCCCCGTCCAGCGAGCACGCCGACGCATTGCCATGTGTCCCTGCACCTGGCTATCACCCCCGTCTGTGTGACTGGCCGTCGAGACGGGCCGAAACGCATGCAGGACATCAGATCTTCTGCTTTTTCTGCTGGCTCTCCTTCGGGTTGAACTTATTGAACCACTCGACAGAAGAGTTCAGCGCATCGAAGGCCGTGTCGACTTTCATGCTCAGTGCCAACATCGTGGCCTCGTCCGCCCCCTGCAAGACGGCGTCTTCGACCGACACAAAGATCTGCGTCATCTCTTTGACGTTGTTGGCGATCTCCTTGTTGAGCTCCCCTAGGAACTTCCCGCCCTTCGAGTCGATGAACATCTGCTTGGCGATCGTCAACGCTTTCCCGATGTTGAACACTACCTTCTTCCCGTCCGTCTTCAGTGCCTTGAAGGTCGCGCTCTCCTCGGGCTTCACCTCCGTTGGCTCGCCTTCCTCCTGCTTCACAGCGACCAAGCCCGCACCCGCAGCCGAACTTCCAGCGTTGCATGCCCTCATGGATGCGAATGATGCCTCCGCTTCCATCTGCCTCTCCTCGGTGTCAAGGTCAGCCTCGGTGCCGAGCTCGTGCGTGTCCCGCTCCTCGTCGCCCTCCTCGCGGCTGTCCAGGTTGACGGCGTACTCCCTGCTCCACGGCCCGTCCTTCCCAGTGTCGCGATCGGGGCGCCATTTGGTTGGGTCCTTGTCGAAAACCTCTGCCTTCTCCTTCGCCTTCTGCTCTCCGAATTCCGAAATCATTTTGTTGAGGCTCCACCACACGACCTTGATCGTGTTCTTCTTGAGAAGGGTGACCGACTTCTTGGACTTCGCCGTGCCTCCACTCTTGAGCTTATCTGCGAACCATGTTTGGAAGTACTCACGCCTTTTTCCAATCGGCCACCCGTCGTACGTCTTCTTCGCCCCGTTCGTCTCGAGCCAGTGCACCATGGACGCGCGAGCTCTCTTGGCCTCGTCGGCGTCCTTGAGGAGATCCTTTGCCTTCTCGAGCTCGTCAGCTGACACCGTCGGCGCCTCCAACGTGCGCTTCTTCGGCGGCATCGGAGGTTCCCACGGAGCGGCTGGCCCCAGCACTGAGCGCGCTCTTGAGCCAAAGCGGCTACGGCCAAGGGGCCCTTCCCACGGGGGCCCCCTGGGCCCCTGGGGCCAACAAAAACCAGGTGAAAAAAAAACAGAAAAAAACAGAAAAAAAACAGTCTGTATTCCATCCCGGTTTTGTGCCGGCTAGGCGGCCCTGGGTACTCTAACGGACACAAACACAGGGTGAAAAACAGTCTGTTTTTTCTCTGTTTTTTTCTGTTTTTTTTTTTGTGTTTCTCCCGGGGGGCCGGGGCTCGGCGCGGGACGGATGGGGGAAGGAGGACACAGGGGGGGGGTGGGGAGGAGCTCGGGGAGCTCAGAGGGGGGGTGGACGGGAACGAAGAGGGGTAGGAGTAGGACGTGGGTGCAATCCGAAAGGGCACACCGTGTACGTGCGCTAGCAACGGTATGCGATCCCCAAACAGCGCTTGCATTCCCCAAACAGTGCTTGCGTTCCCCAGGCTGCTATATATCATCCCCATAACAGTGCTTGCACGTATTCCCCAAACAGCGAAACGGCATTATTCAAACAGTGCTTGCGTTTTTGCATGCTTGCCTAAGTGCCCTCGGCTGTTACTTCACCTCTGAGGTGCATAAGGTGCCTAAGGTGCCCAACCCTGCAACTGCTTCCATTCTCCAAACAGTGCTTGCACCTTGTAGCGGGCTCCCCAAACAGTTACGCTCCCCAAACATTGATTGCATTCACCAAACAGCGCTTGCACTCCCTAAAGCGTACAGCCGCAATGCTTTTCCAGACTGTAGTCTCCAAGCACTTTTTTCCCGAGCACGCGCTGCTGAAGAGCGACCGTCTGCCACGCACGCTGAAGTATCCTCGAAGTGGTGCCTTCGCACCGCTGGGCGAGCCTTGTGACTCGACGACTTACTCATGGCACTCCTTGGCCACGATCACGGCTGGCCACTCGTCGAGGCTGGCGCTGCTGCTGGAGGCGAAGGCTCTCTGGACGAGGTGAAGGTGCTCTGTGGGTTCCAGGTGCTCTCGTCGACGACCTCCTCAAACATCTTGCGAACCACCTGTTTGGACGCGAACTTGATGTAGGCCTTCTTGTACTTGCGCTGGGCCATACCACCGCCCGACCTCATGTTAGCCTCATTGATGTCTAGCTGCGACCGTGGATTGCGCAACGCCCTGGAGAGACAGCCGATGTTGGGGAGAATCGAACGGCCATCTTCGCGAACTCCTTGAATTACTGCGTCCGAGTAGGCGTTCACGAACGAGAGGGCCTGCTTGTATTGGATCTTGAGAGACGTAGCAATTCTCTGGACGAAGGCACGCTTGTTGCCACGCTTAGGCTTCCTACCCATCTGGAGGGTGGAAGCTCTGGGGATCAGCTCGGTGGTGCTGGCTCGAGCCTAGATGTCTCCAGTTGTGGTGACGTGGGGTGCTGGTGATAGTGCAATGGTCACGCTGGCGATGGTGATGATGGTCATGATGCAGACGATGCTTTCACCCCCAAATGGGGGCTGAATTCCCTAAGCAATGCTTGCATGCCCAACACAATGAACAGACCCGTTCCAAACAGTGCTTGCACGTATGCGTTGTGCTCCTAGGGCGTCCTCGATTGAACGTTTTACTCCTAAAGCGTCTTAGTCTTGATCGCCCAAGATGGTCCACCATTTCCTATGATCTCTTCTATCGACGGCTGCAGTCCCCAAGCAGTGCTTGCACCTTCGTGCACTTGTTGTAGTTCCCCCATCAGCGCTTGCACTCTCCAAGTAATGCGTTTGTTCCCGAACCAACGCTTGCATCCTCCGTGTAGTCCGATGCGTGGATGGTGATGATGATGCTGACGATGAAGACCACTGTGCACGCAACCGCGTCAGACCCGTCTACAGCGGGCTAGCGGCTAGAGTATCCTTGAGGTGGCGCCGTCGCGCCGCTGGACAAACCGAGAATGGCGGATCGCTCTCACTCGACCGAGTCCTCGACCTGCACGACCTCGTGATCCGCGACGGCCTGGCTCTCTTCTTGCAAGGTCTCTTGCAAGGTATCTACCTGCTCGAGCGCCCTGTCGTAGGTGTCCGCGGGGTCAGACGCAGTGCGGCGCAACTTCTTGACCCCGACAGGCTGCATCAAGTTCTGGACAACCTCCTTGACTTCCAGGAAACGTACCGCCAACGGGTCCAGCGTGTTGTCGACGAACGCATCGAGGTCGAACGCACTCTCGGGAGGTGGGCCTCCAGGGAATACCGACTCGAAGGTGCTGTAGGCGATGGTAATGGCGTTCGACAGCGCATCCACTTCCTCAGCCACGGACCTTGTATACTTGGTGTCCAGCTGGCCACCCGACGCCCAGGCCCCGAGGAGAAACATCATGTTCTTGCACTGGTTGGCCACCTTGTCTGCGCGGAGGTCGTCCCACCGACTGTCGGGCCCAGGCGGACCCCAACGGCTTTCCGCGCCAGGAGCCACAGGCACGGTGCTCTCGACATCAATCGTCGTTGGAAGCCGCGGTCAGAGCGAAGAGCTAGCACCTTCCTCCACGAAAGAATCACCCTGCTGCTCTAGCTCCAAGAGGTGCTCACGTTCGAGGTCAGACATGCTTCGTAGTATATACTTCTACTGCGTGGGAACGTGAGCCAACATGGCTATGGATGGCAATGGCAATGATGGTGATGTTGCTGCGTATGACCTCACCCTCGTCATCATCATGGTGATGATGGTGATGATGATGATGATGATGATGATGATGGTGATGATGATGATGCTGCTGCTGATGATGATGATGATGAACATCATCATCATCATCAGTTGTTACGCTCACTATCAGCATCACCGTCACCGTTAACATCATCACACTCCTGATCACAGCCGCCCATAATCTTTACCAGCCATAGGCGGAAATACGAGGAGGACAACATGACGAGGTTTGAGGATGAGAGGGCTAAGGGTGAATGCGAAGGGCGAGGAGGGCGGATGGAAGGAGGAGGCCGAGGACGAGGATGGTTAGCGTGATGATCTTGGGGGGCGAAGTGTGTTCATCTTCGGAATTGCCCCTAGGAAGTCGAACCGTTGCTGGCTCCTCGGAGCCGAGCGCCCCAGCGTGTCAACGCACGCGTGCAATCAAAAGATGCCTGTGACGCCATGCCTACTGCCTCATTTTCTTTTTCGGACGCTGGTACTTGTTACGGAGCTCGTCCGTCCACGCAGTCGCTGCCGCCTGCGCTGCCTCCCTGACCTTCTGCGGCGACACGCCTGTTTTCTTCATCTGGGTGATCTGTTTGCCGTAGACCCTGCTGTGCTCGCGGTTGAGGAACTTGCGCCACTCATCGTCCGACATGCTCGCAGGGTCAGGCCGTGTCGCAGGGGCTGCTGCGCCGTCGGACCTCTGCTCCTGGGTTGCTGCGTCGACGGGTGCGACGTCGCCGATGGCCTCGGTGCCCTGCTCAGGAGGTGCGGCCGATGGACGCTTCTTCGCAGTAGCTGGCCTCCTCTTAGCAACCTTCGGCTCCTTACCCGCCTTCGCCTTCTCAACCGCCTCCTCCTTCTTTCTCTTCTGCAACTCCTTCCAATCCTCAGTGCCTGGCGGCGTGAGGGACTTCTCCAAGAGCTGCTTCACGCCCGTGTCGGCCAACGGCGACGCGGCTGGCAACAGCTCCTTGGTGTTGGCCTCCTTGGTGTCGGCCTCCTGCGTGCCGACGTCCTTGGTGTCGGGCTCCTTGGTGTCGGTGTCGGCCTCCGCGTCGAGCTTCTTGGCGTCGGCATCCGCGTCGGCCTGATGGTTCACCTGGACATGTGGTTGGAGAAGTGCGACCAAGTCAGCGTCGGTGCTCGTAAAGAGCTCCGAGCGATCCCAACTGTCGGCGATCCCCTCATCGTCACTGCTGCTGACGCTGACTGTGCTTTGCCCTGGCGCGCGTGTCGCTGTCGCTGGCCTCGGGGACGTTGGCGTGACCACGATCAAATCCATGGCGACGCTGAAGCTCTCCACGAACGCGGCTGGGATCCCGCGCCCCTTAGCCTTCTGTGAGGCCAGCTGGGACACCAATGCGCGCAAGCGGAATGCGCAAGCCTCCGCCTCGTTCTTCCTCACCTGCATCCCGTGCTGCTCGAAGTACGCCTCCACGCCCGCCGTGAAGGGCACCTGGAGTGCCTGCAAGCCGCCTGTGCGCTGCAGCATGCGCGAGACGGCCTTGGCCAAAGGCTTGGCCGCGGCCCAGTTCGGGCTTCGCCCGAACGTGAGCTTGTCGTACAAGACGAACTTGCCGTCTACGAACTGGGAGGCAGGCACAAGGGACAGCACCTCCGCCACATCATCCTTCGACAAGGTGGCCCCCCGAGTGGCTGGCATGGCGCTCCAGGTCTTCTGGAGCCTCGAGCCCAAATGGGCTACGGATGTTGGCTCGCAGTTTCTGTTTTGTTTTCGTAGCGCCCCAAGATAGCTCAAATATCCCCCTAGGTCGGCCCAAGATGGTTTCAACACGTATGGGGGCGACCACCGACGACCCAAGATGCCTTCAAGAGAGCAGGCCGCCAGTCCCCACAACTGCTACCTCATACGTAGTCGCAGCTGACAACAGACTATGGCTCGCAAGGCTTCTTGTCTTGTTTGGTCCTCATCCACCTACAAAGGGGACAATAGGAAATCTATACTTTATGAGGGTTCTCGTCTGTGTTGCTGGATTGGGTCCTCGTTTATCTTCTGGGGTTCGGTGCCTCTTTAAGTCATTCAGTCCAGTCAGTCAGCCAGTCAGCCAGTCCAGTTAGTCAGTCAGTCCAGTTAGTCAGTCCAGTCAGTCCACTCGGTGATGCATCAATCAGTCAGTCCAGTCAGTCACTCTTGGATGCATGCTCAGTCAGTCCAGTCAGTCAGTCCAGTCAGTCCATCTGCCAGTCAGTCCAGTCCGTCGGCCAGCGAAGCCAGTCAGTCCAGTCAGCCAGTCCAGTCAATCAGTCCACTCGTTGATGCATCAACCAGTCAGTCCAGTCAGTCACCCTTGGAAGCCTACTCGCCCAGGCAGTCCAGTCAGTCAGCCCAGTCAGTCCAGCCAATACATCAGTCAGTCCAGTCAGTCACGCGTTTGATGATGTTGTGGATTTTGATTACGATGGATGTCTTTTTTCATCCCTGAACGCGCCCGCGACTCCGTCGGACAGTCTAATTCGTCGGGAGTGTGATCAGAAACGCTGGCATTTGTGGCCACGGGCCCGAAACCTGATGAGACCTGGTTGCAAGTGAGTCCCACCAGCCATCTGGGCGACAGGTGGTCTAGGGAGATTTCTCTTCCCTCTTCCAACAATCCCTTCTTCCCCTTCGGGGGGGGTGCTTACCCCTCCCCCCACCCCTCCCCTGGACCTGGACGGGGCGTTTCGCGGGGAGTTGGAGCGCCCAAGATGGCCTAAGATGGCTTCAAGAGGGCCTCCGAAGTTCCAAGTTGGCCTCCAAGATGGATCAATACGGCTGAAGAATGTCAAGGCAAGTTTCGACATGCCTCCAAGAGGCCGCAAGAGGGCCACAAGACAGTTCCAAGTGCTCTCGGAGACCCCTCAGGGCCTCCCCAAGAGCCCACATGTTTTTAACATCTGAGGGAATCGCTGATGTTTGCCTTCTCTTCGCTTCCGATGCGCTTCTGAGGCCTCAAGATGGCCCCAATATGGCCCAATAGAGCTCCAGTAGGGGCCCAGGAAGCCCCCAAGACGGCCCCAAGATCGCCCAAGACCGCCCTAAGAGGAGCCCAAGAGCGCATCAAGATGCGGGCCCCAGGGGGGGGCGCCGATCGGAACTCACCCCTCTTTTGACCGATAGCCTCCAAGATGGCCCCAAGAGGCGCTCCAGGGCTCCCAAAAGAGTCCCAGGAGGGTCCCAAGAGCGCCCAAAGAGGCCCCAAGATGGCCCCAGAAGCCCCCAAGACGGCCCTAAGACGGCCCAACTATGGCTCAATATGGCTTCCAAGACGCCCAAGACGGCCTCCCAAGAGAGCCCGAGATGCCTCCAATATGTCTCCAAGGCGGCCCAAGATGCACCCAAGACGGCCCAAGATAGCCTTAGGATGGCCCACGACTGCCCAAGACGACCCCTGAGGGGCCTCCAAGGCGGCCCTTTGATAACGAGGAAGTCTCATGCGGGAGGATCGTGCCTGAAAGGGCTCAGCCGGGAGGTTCTTGTTTTCTCTGCACACCTGCACACCCCACGCATTCCTTCCTTCCTCCCCTCTCCCTCCTTGTCTCTCACACGTTCTCATGATGATGATCAGCATCATCATAATCATCATCACTCCACACACCCACCCACTCATCATCATCATCATCATCATCATCATCATCATCATCATCATCATCATCATCATCATCATCATCATCATCATCATCATCATCAACACCGTCATCATCGCCATCGTCGCCATCACCATCTCACG